GACCGGCCCCGCGAGCTGGCCGCCGAGGACCCGCGGTCCTCCCAGGCGTGGACGCCCGTCGCCGACGGCGCGCACTCGCCGAAGCCGGACGGCGGTGACTCGGACGACGACGACGCGCCGGACTGGCTCCGGGGCGGCGACGACGCGGCGACGCCGCCGCCGCCGGCCGTGGACTTCGACGCGCCCCTCGTCGAGGACGTGGCCCACGGCGCGGCCGCCGGCGAGGTCGTCTTCGGCGCGGGCGCGGGCCTCGACGGCGGCGGCGACTTCGAGAGCCTCTTCCACCGCGCCGCCGCCGTCGACGGCGAGCGCGACGTCGCGGGCTCCATCGCCGCGGCGCTGAGTGAGACGGCGCCGCCGGTGAACTACGGCAAGTTCGCGTCCGACGACGACGCGTCCGACGCGGCCGCGTCGCCGCGGCGGCCGCGCGGCGGCGCGCGCGACGACCGCGACGCGTCGCCGCCGCCCATCGCGACGTACGTGAACCCGCCGGCCGCCGCCGCCGGCGGCGGCGACGCGCCGCCGCCGGCCGTCGAGGAGCTCCTCAACCTCGCGAAGTCGTTCCGAGACTACGCGCGGACGTCCGCCGCCGCGGACGGCGGCGGCGCGCCGACGGACATCGCGTCGTCGCTGCGCGCGTCCGCCTGGCGCAAGGAGGTGTCCCTCGAGACGCCCGGCGCCGCGGCCGCCGCGCCGCCGCCCCCGGCGGGCGGCGCGCCCGCCGCGCCGGGCGGGCCCGGCGGCGGCCAGGACAACCTCGACTTCTTCGTCTGGCTCTCCGGCGAGAACCCGAGCGCGCCCCCGCGGCCCTAAGGAGCGCGCGGCGCGGCGCATCGGCCGAAGCACGGGGCGCCGCCGCCTGGCCTTCCCGGCACGTCGATCTCGAGCCATCTTATACAGGCTGGAGCCGCGCGGGCGCCGGTCCGTGACGGGCTGGAACGACTCGACGACGACGCTCCAGACCGTTCGCGCGCGCGGCGGGCCGTCGCCCTACGCGTCGGAGTTGGAGACGCGGGCCGGGTCGTCTGGCGAGTCGTAATTGGGATCGTTGGGGTCCGTGCACGTGTAGTCGCCGCTCGCCGGGTCGTCGATGGCGCCGCCGGAGACGCCGGCCTTGCGGACGACCGCCGGCCCGCCCTTGCGCGTGATGTTGCGGCTCGCCTCGCCGCCGCCGGAGGCCTTGGTCACGGGCGCGGCCTTGTCGCTCTTGTGGTGCGGCACGCCGTCGCTCTTCGCCTCCTTCATCTGGCTCTTCGTCCCCACTTGCTTGCTCGACATGGTCTGTAGTCGGTGCGCCTGCGTGCGTGCCGATCGCGTCGCCGCGCGCGCGGGGGGGGTTGCGGGCGTTGCGGAGGGTCGCGGAGCGGCGCGGCGGGCGGGGCGGCGTTTGGCGCGTGTCTCCAGGAGGACGCCGGCGGGCGCTTGGTCTCGGTGCAAAGGCTGGTTCTGGCAGCCCGTCAAGCTAGGTCGACAGCAAGGAGCCGATCTTGTGGACGCGGTTCAGCGAGCATCGACCTCGGCCTCGACGCGACCCTCCTCGGCGGCGCCGGAGAGCGCGAACGCGCGCGACCATGGCCCCTCGCGGCGTGACCATGGGGAAGAAGAAGCACGCGTCCGACGCGGACCCGAAGAACGCCGACTTCGTGGCCCTGCTCAGCGAGGACCACCGCCAGCCGGTCTACGCCGTCGCCTTCTGGCCGCGGTCCGACGGCGGCGCCTACCACCACCTCGCCGTCGCCGGCAGCAACCGCGCGTCGGTCTACGCCGTCGCCGCGGACCCGGAGGCGTCAACCCGCCGTCGAGCTGCGCCAGGTCTACGTCGACAACGACGACGGCGAGAGCCTCTTCTGCGCCGCGTGGTCGTGGCGCGACGCGGCGCCGCTCCTCGCCGTGGGCGGCGCGCGGGGCGTCGCCAAATTAGTGGACTGCCGCAGCGGGCGTTTGGACGTGGCGCTCGTGGGCCACGGCAACGCGATCAACGACGCGTGCTTCCACCCCGTCGACGGCGCGCTGCTCCTCACGGCGTCCAAGGACGAGTCCGTGCGCCTCTGGAACGCGCGCACGGCGGTCTGCGTCGCCGTCTTCGCCGGCGACCGGGGCCACCGCGACGAGGTGCTGAGCGTCGACGCGCACCTCACGGGCGCGGTCTTCTGCAGCGCGGGCATGGACAACACGGTCAAGGTCTGGCGCAGGGCAGCAAAAGAGAGCAAAATTCCCAACTTCAAAGGCTCATATCTCGGCCGTTTTCCACTCGTTTCGGCTGATTTTTGGACGAGCGATCATCTTTCGGAACGGCCTCGAAGCGTGGATGCTTTTTTCGGAACGCGCGCGCGCGGAACACTCACGTTGAAGCGACGTTGAATCTCTCTTATCCTGCCCAGGTCTGGCAGCTCGACGCGCCCGCCGTCGTCGCGGCCGCGGCGCGGTCCCACGAGGCGCCGCGGCCCCGCGACGGGCGGCCCTTCGCGACGGTCTTCCAGCAGTTCCCCGCGTTCTCTTCCGCGGCGGTCCACGCGAACTACGTCGACTGCGCGCGCTGGGCCGGGTCCCTCCTGTTATCCAAGTCCACGGGCAACGCCGTCGCCATGTGGACGCCGGACCCCCACGGCGACAAGCGGAGCCCCGTGGCCCGCGACGACGCGCCGGCCAAGGGCGACGGCGACCGCGACGACGCGGCCTTGGTGCTCCGCCAGTTCCATTTGCCAAACGCGGACATCTGGTTCATGCGCTTCTCCGTGGACGCGCGGCGGCGCCTCCTCGCCGCGGGGAACAAGGTCGGCCGCGTCCTCGTCTGGGACGTCGACGACCCCAAGGACGCGCCCCTCGCCTACCTCGCGCACCCCCGGTGCAACGCGGCCGTGCGCCAGGTCTGCTTCTCGCCGGACTCGCGCTTCGTCGCGCTCGCCTGCGACGACGCCCAGGTCGCGCTCTTCCGCCTCCACCCGCGGGGGGCCGCGGCCTAAAGAACAAGTTAGGTCTTCTTCGGGCGGATCTTCGCGCCGAGCGCCGCGGGCCCGCGCGGCGCGACGGCGTGGCCGCCGCCGACCTTGACGCTCGCGCCGCCCTCGCGGAGCTTCTTCACTTCGGCCTTGAGGTCCGCGATGGTCGCCGCGGCCGCGCGCGGGTCCGCGGACGAGCGGACGTCCTTGCACCGCGTCGCGAACTGGAGCGAGGTCAGCGTCTCCGCGACGTTGTCGGACGCGGGCGACGAGCAGACGATCATCATCGTCTTCGCGGAGCCGCCGACGGAGTCGGACATGAGCATGGTCAGCGGGTGGTTCCGGTAGGGCACGTGGCCCCCCGCCGCGGCCGTTAAAGAAGCGATGACGTCGCCCAGCGCCGACAGCGACTTGTTGATGGCCGTCGCCTGGGCAGCAAAAGAGAGCGAAATTCCCAACTTCAAAGGCTCATATCTCGGCCGTTTTCCACTCGTTTTGGCTGATTTTTGGACGAGCGATCATCTCTCGGAACGGTCTCGAAGCGTGGATGCTTTTTTTTGGAACGCGCGCGCGCGGAACACTCACGTTGAAGCGACGTTGAATCACCCTTTTGCTGCCCTGGCCGTCGCCTCCTTGAGCCGCTCGCCCGTCGCGCCGCTCTTGTCGACGCGCTCGGACCCGGCGAGGTCCACCAACGTAAGCTTGCCCGTGACCTTGTGGCCCGTGCGCTTGTTCGTCGAGCTAATCTCCATCATCATGACGAGGTGGCTCCGCGAGCTCTCGGAGTTCATTTTCGTCGCGTGCACCGTGCGGTTGCCGATGCCGAAGGCCAAAGCGTCGACGAGCGCCTTGGCGTCTGCCACCTCCCGGGATTTCGCGCCCTCGACGTGGACGAGGCCCGTGGGCGAGTGCTCCGCCAAGGTAATCTTCAGGTGGGGCTGCTGGGGCGAGGTATTTAACAAGTCCACGAGCTTGTCGCAGTAGACCTCGAACATGGACAGCGTCACGGTGCAGTCGCACTGCGACGTCCGCCCCTCCAAGATGTCGAAGACGGCCTCCGCGGACCGCGGCGCGATGCCCGCTCCTTCCAACACTCTCCCGTCGGGCCCGAGCGTCGCGCCGATGCGCGAATCCGAGCCCATGGTGAACGTCTTGCCCGATCCCGTCTGCCCGTAGCAGAAGAGGCACACGTTGTAGCCGTCTACCGTGGACGTGATGAGCTGCTTGACGTCCTCGAAGAGCCGCGGCTGCGAGTTCTCGGCCCCGGCGCCGTCGAACACGAAGTCGAACATGAATTTCTTCTTCTCGCCCTTTTCTTTCGCGGGTAGCACCGTGAGCGACCCCTCGCCGTCCTTGACGACGGCGGACTCGCCCGCGCCGCGGTCCCGCTCGAACTGCGCCAGGGGCCGCACGCGGCACAAAACCCGGATCTTGCCCTTCATGTCCTCGATCTGGTTGTGGAGCTTGCGCCGCATCATCGACTCGCGCGTCAGGTCTTGGTCGAGCCGCGCGTTCCTTTGTTCGAGCGCCCGGAGCTTCTCGACGCCGTCGGACGCGTCCTCGAGCGACGCCCTAGTCAGCGACAGCTCGTCCATGGCCGCGGCCAGGCGGCCCTCGTAGGACTCGGTCGTCCCCGCGAGCCGCGACGCCGCGCGCTCCGCCGAACACCGGAGCGCGTCGCCGCACGCCTCCGCGGCGGCCGCGCGCTCCGCGGCCGTCGACGAGCCCGACGCCGACGACGCGGCGAGGCTCTTGTGCTGCGCCGCCTCGGCCTGCGCCGCGTGGAGCGCGCGCGACAGCTTCGTGACCTGTGTGCAAATCAACCACTGGTTTGGGACGTCCCGACCAAACTTTGAAATTCTCTAGCTCGGTCAAATCGACGTCGATTCGGCTGATTTTTGGACGGATCGATCGCTCTCGTCGAGTTCTCGAAGCACTGCGGAAGTGCTCGTGTCAAAACATTCGAATACGCTCACATTGAAGTCGATTTGAAGATTTGATTTGCACACAGCTTCGTGACCTCGTCCTCGTGCTCCTTGCGCCGCGCGGACTCGTCCGCGCGCCGGTCGATGTCGTCGCGGGCCTTTTGCCGCTCGTGGTCGTCCTCGAGCTTCTTGAGCTGGCGCCGCGCGTCGTCGCCGCGCTCCCGGGCGGTCTTCGTCTGCTCCGCGAGATCCGCCTCGGCCTTGGCGAGGCGCTCGCGCGCCGCGGCGAGCTCGCCGCCGCGCGACGCGTCGGACTCGGCCTTGGCGTCGCGCACGAGCTGGAGCTCGCGCGCCGCCCCGGCGGCCTCGAGCTCCTTTTGCAATAGGTCGGCCTTGAACTTGAGCGCCTGCTCGCGGACCTCGTTGAGGTTCGCGGCCGCGCGCTGCCGCGCGGCGTCGGCGTCCGCCGCGGCCTTGGCCGCGCCCTCGCAGCGCGCCCGGTCGCCCGCGGCGGCCTCCCGCAGCGCCACGAGCTCGCCGCGGAGCTTCTCGAGCTCCGCGGCGCCGTCGCGGCGCGCGCGGTCCGCCGCGGCCTCGGCGTCGCGCGCGCGCGCGGCGTCCTCGTCGCGGCGCCGGCCCGCGGCGGCCTCGTCGCGCTTGCGCGCGTCGCCGAGCTGGGCCGCGAGCTCGGCCTTGATCGCGTCGGCGACGACCCGCGCCTGGCGCGGCGCGGCGACGGCCTCGTCGAAGCGCCGGAGCGTGTCCTCGAGGCCCTGGCGGACCTCCGCGGCGCGCCGGCCGTCGCCGTCGCGGAGCGCGGCGGCGAGCTTCTCCTCGACGGCGCCGCGCAGCTCCGCCTCGCGCTTCCGCTCGTCCCGGGCGGCCGCGACCGCGGCCTCGGCGACGGCCATCTTGGCCCTGTGCGCCTCCTCGAGGGCGGACCGCCGCTCGTCCGCGCCGGCCGTGGCCGCGAGCGAGAGGAGCTGCTGCTCCAGCGCGCCGCCGCGCTGCTCCGCGGCCGCGGACCGCGCCGCCGCCGCCTCGAGCGCGGCCTCGGCGCGCGCGGCCTCGGCCTCCCGCTGCTTGCCGGCGTCCTCGGCACTCTCGAGCTTGCGCCGCAGCGCGTCCCGCTCGGCGTCCGCGCGCCGCGACGCCTCGGCCTCCCGCGCCCGGAGCGCCTCGGCGTCCTTCGCCAGCGCGTCCCGCTCGGCCTCGGCGCGCGCGCACTTGGCCTCCCAGGAAGAGGCGTCGCGCCGCGCACCGTCGAGGTCCGCCTGCCGCCGCGCCTCGTCCGTCCGGTGCGCCTCGATCTTCTTCTCCAGCGCGGCCTTGGCCTCGCCGCAGGCCGTCTCCCAGGCGGCGACGCGCGCCGACAGCTGGGACTCGACGGCGTCGCGGCGGCTCCGCTCCTCGGCCTCGCGCGCGCCCGCGGCCGGGTCCGCGGCCGCGGGCGCGCCCACGGCCGCGGCGGCCTGCCGCGCGGCCTCGAGGGCGACGGCCATGGCCGACGCGCGCGCCGCCGCGAGCGCGGCGGCGTGGGCGTCGGCCGTCGACGCCTTCGCGGCCTCGAGCGCGGAAACGGTCGCCCTGGCGTCTTCCAAATCCGCGCGGGCCTTCGCCGACGCCGCCTTCTCGCGCTCGACGTCGCGGAGCGCCGCGTCCAGATCCGCGCGCGCGCGCCCGAGGTCGCCCTCGGCGCGCACGGCCCGCTCGAGCGCCGCCTCGCCGGCGGCCGCGGCGCGCGACCGCGCGCGCTCGACCTCGTCCGCGCGCGCCTGCGCGCCCGCCGCGAGGCTCGCGGACCGCTCGCGGTCCGTCGCCGCCTCGTACTGGAGGCTCCGCAGCTCGCCCGACGCCTTGTCCGCGAGGCCCTGGGCCGCGTCGAGGCGCGCCTTCAACGACGCCGCGTCCTGCTGCGCGAGCGCGAGGCGCCGCTCCGCGCGGTCCGCGCGGTCGCGCGCCTCGTCCGCGTCGTGGCGCGCCGCGGCCGCGCGCTGCTCGCTCTCGAGGCGCGCGCGGTCCGCCTCGAGGTGCCTGTGCCGAAACCAAATCTTCAACCCGACTTCAATGTGCGCATAATCGAACGGTTTGGACCAGACTCTTTCGCTGTGCTTCGAGAACTCGACGAGAGCAATCGATCCGTCCAAAAATCAGCCGAATCGACTTTGATTTGACCGAGCTAGAGAATTCTCAAGTTTGGTGGGGACCCCCCAAACCAGTGGTTGGTTTCGGCACAGCGAGGTGCTTGAGCGTCTCCCGCGCGTCGCGGAGCTCCGCGAGCTCCCGGTCGAAGTCGTCGCGCCGCGAGTTGGGCGTGCCCGCCGCCGACGGCGGCGCGGCCGGCGGCGGGTCGGGCTTCTTCTTCTTCTTCGACGACGGCGCGCCGACGACGGGCGCGCCGATGTCGATGGAGTAGGGCGACGTCGCCGCGTTTCCCGCCGCGGCCGTGTTCGGCGTCGTCGGCGGCGGCGGCTTCGGCTTGGTCTTGGGCGCGACGGACTTCAAGAACGCGACGCACGCGTCGTGCAGGCCGCTCTCGGCCGCGTAGCCCAACGCGTCGTAGCCGTCGAAGTCGACGGCCGCGGCGTCGGCGCCGTGCCGCACGAGGTCCTCGCAGACGGCCGTCGCGCCGGCGTCCGCGGCGTACATGAGCGGCGTCGCGCCCGTGTGCAGCTCCGCGACGTTCGGATCGGCCCCGAAACGGAGCAGCGCGACGACGGCCGGCGGCGACAGCGTGGCGCCGTTGGACATGTAGTGGAGCGCCGTGGCGCCGTTGGGCAGGCGCGCGTTGACCTCGGCGCCCTGGGCGACGAGCAATTCCACGAGGTCGCCCGCGCCGTACTGCGCGCAGAGGAGCAACGCGGTATCTCCCGTCTCGCCGTCGACGATCTGCGTCTCCTCGATGTCCGCGGCCCCGGCGGCGGCTCGCACGGCGTCCTCGACGCCGGCCATGCCCTGGCCCCAGTAGGGGAGGGCGTCGCGCAGCAGCGCCAGCAGGCCCCGCGACGCGTCGACGTCGATCTCGACGCCCGGCGACGGCGACGGCTCGGGGAGGCCCTCGTAGGGGCGCGGCGTCCGCGTCGTCGGCTGGTCCAGCGCCGCCTCGGCGTCGGCGACGACGTCGCTCGGCTCGTAGTTTGTGAGGAGGTCGCGCTCGCTCTCCGTGTAGAGCTTGCGCGCGATGGAGTTCGACCGGTCCGCCGTCGCCGGCGCCTGCTGCGTCGCGCCGCCGTCGTCGTCGGCGGCGGCGCCGAGGCTCGGCACGGACTGCGAGCCGGCGAGCGACTGCTGCTCCTCCTGGAGCCTGCGGATCTCCTTGACCCCGGCGCTCGCCATGGGCACCGGCCGCGGCCAGCGCCGGCGGCCGCTGGCTGCCCCACGACTGCTTCGAACGGTTCACTCACTTCTTGAAAGTTCAACAGTTCGATTCAATAAATTCAAACGACTCGTGAACGATGGGCTGCGTCTGAAGCCGAACGATTGGCTGCCTCTGAAGCCGAGCGATGAGCGTCCGGTCGCTGCTCACGTCGGACCATGATTGGCGGAACCGTGTTCAGAAGCGCGGGGGTGCGTCTGAGGCGGGCGCCCCGAAGCGCGGGGGCGGGTGGCCGCAGGAGCACGGCCGCGGCTTCCGCCTAAGCCAAGCGACGACTCGTGATCAAGACTTTTGGAATCCCGGCGACGTACAAACGCGCTACGGCGCCCCCCCAAAAGACCACGTCTTCGGCGGGGGCGCCCAGGTCGTCGCGGCCCTCGCGCCGGACCGCTTCGAGGACCGGCCGCGCGCGGCGACGACGTGGGCCTGGGCCGAGGAGGTCAACGACGGCGAGCTCCGGCGCCGCGCGCGCGACGCCGCGGCGGCGAGGGCCGTCGACGACGTCGTGGCGGCGCGGGAGGCGGCGCCGCTGGAGAAGCTGCGGCGGAGCGTCGCGGCGCTGAAGTTGGCCCGGGGCCTCGCGACGCGCGCGCGCGTGGGCGAGCTCGAGGACGCGACGCGGACCGCCGAGGCCGAGGCCGCGGCGCGCCTCGCGGCGGCGGCGGCGCGCTACCGCCGGCCGACGTCGCCGGCGCGGGCGCCGGTCCACGGGGCGCTCTGCGGCGCGCGGCGGGGGATCGCGGGCCCCGCGGAGGTCCTCACGGGCGCGCGCCGTCTGGCGCCGGGTGACAGCACACACGCGAGCGTAGACGGCTCGGCGCTGCCCTTCGACGACGCGCTGGCCCTCGCGCGCGAGGCGCTGGCGCTGCGCGTCGACGGCGACGGCGCTATTTCGCTCGCGGCCGCGACGGCCGAGCTCCGAAACCGGCTGGAAGTCGCCAAGGGCGACGTCCGGGGGGCGCTGGCGTCCTGCGGCGTCGACGTCGGCGCCGCCCACGCGGCGCGGCTCGTCGAGTCCGTCGGCGGCGGCGTCGGGAGCGACCGGGTCTCGGCGCTCGCGCGCGCCGTCCTCGCGGCGGACCGGCCGCCCGCCGTCGAGGGCCTGGCGGGCTACGCGAGCGCGGCCCTCGACGACGCGCAGCGGCGGCGCGAGGCCCACCGGTGCCTGCTGGTCGCGGACGTCGACGAAGCGCCGAGCCCGTCGTCGCCGTCGCGGCGCGGGCCCGGCGCGGCCGCGGCCGCGGTCGCCGCGCGCGCGACCTTCGCCGACGACACGGTCGCCCACTTCGTCTGCGACGACGGCGGCGCCGCGGGCCCGCCGCGGCCGCCGCGCTACGAGCCGCCGCCGACGCAGCTCCGGCCGCGGACGCCCGGCGCGGCCCCGCCGCCGGGACGCGGCGCGGACCTCGCGCGCGAGGGCCGGGCGCTCAACGCGGCGCACGCGGCGCGCAACGCCCGCGCGAGCCAGGGGCACAGCGCCTTCTCGATCATCTAAGGGTTGGTGATGAAATACTTCAACGCCAACGTTGAAGCAGCGCGCTCGAGGCGCGTGCCAGACGAAGGACCTTCACCAAGGCGCCCTCGACTGCAAGCGATGCGCGTCGCGGCGGCTCCGATGTTCGCGCTCCTCTTCCCCCGGGCCGGCACGGCCTTCCGCGCCCTCGGTCGCGCGCAGCCGCGCCTCCGGGCGTTGGCGTCGTCGGCCGCCGCGGCGCCCGCGGTCATGCCGCCGGTCACCCTCCTGTCGGGCTTCCTCGGCGCGGGCAAGACGCAGCGTCCTGCGGCCGTGACGATTTTCGAGAGCTTTCGACGATGAAACATCGTTACCGACGCGCTTGGTAGGCAAGACGTCCATGCTCACGGGCATTTTGGACAACCGCGACGACCTGCGCGTCGCCGTCGTCGTCAACGACGTCGCCTCCGTCAACGTCGACGGCGCCGTGATCCGCAAGGAGCTCGTCGGCGTCGACGAGACCGAGGTCGAGCTCCTCGAGCTCCAGAACGGCTGCGTCTGCTGCGGCGCGTCGGCGCTGGAGCTCGCCGGGAACGTCAAGGACCTGGTCCGGGTCGGCGCGGACCGCGGCAAGCCCTTCGACCACGTCGTCATCGAGATGTCCGGCGTCGCGGACCCGAGAGCCGTCCAGTACAATCTGGAGGACGGCGGCGTGGCCGTGGACCGCATCGTCACGGTCGTCGACGCGCCGGCCTTCGCGGAGCAGTGGATGTCCTGGGACAGTATGGAGGACCGCGTCGCCGACGACGGGCCGCCGCCGGACCCCTACCACGGCGTCGTCGAGGCGCGCAAGGCGGCCCTCGCGTCCGTCGCGGACCTCGAGGCGGACCCCTGCGCGGCGCAGCGCAAGGTGACGGCGCTGCTCGTCGCGCAGGTCGAGGCCGCGGACGCCGTCGCCATCAACAAGGTCGACATGGCGTCGGCCAAGGACGTCGAGACCGCGAGTCTCACCTGCGCGGCGCTCGTGCCGGACGCGGACGTGCTCGTCACCGAATTCGGGCGGGCGGCGCTCGCCGACCTGCTGCCCAACGTCGCGACGCCGGCGCCGGCCGCGGGGGAGGCGTCGTCCCGCCGCGCGGACCCGGACTGCGCGTCGGAGGCCGACGCGGCGCACGACCACGACCACGACCACGACCACGCCGCGCCCGCGCCGCTCACGGTCGACGCGCTCGGCGTGTCGTCCTTCGCCTACGAGAACCACGAGCGGCCGTTCGACTACGCGAAGCTCGTCGGCCTCATCAAGCGGTGGCCCATCCCCCAGAAGGACGTGCTGAATCTGGACGACGTCAAGCCCGGCGGCGCGGGCGTCCCCGGCGTCGAGAGCGCGTGGGAGGCCGTGCTCCGGTCCAAGGGCTTCGCGTGGCTCGCGTCGCACCCGAACCGCGCCATCTCCTGGGCCTTCGCGGGGAAGCACTTCGCGCTCGAGGACGCGGGCGACTGGGACGGCGCGACGCCGCGGTCCGAGATCGTCGTCATCGGCGTCGACATCGACGAGGCCAAACTCCGCGCGGACCTCGACGGCTGCCTCGTCGACGACGCGCAGCTCGAGGCCTACCTCGAGCGCGACCGCGCGGCCGGGCCCCGCTTCGACGTCGGCGCGGCCGTCGAGTGCAACCTCGGCGGCCCGAACGGCTGGACGCCGGGCACCGTCGTCACCCACAACTACATCGAGGAGGGCTGGGACGCGCCCGTGCCCTACCAGGTCGAGCTCGGCGACGGCACGCTCATCTTCGCGCCCGCGGACTCCGACGAGGTCATCCGCGCGTCCCTCCTCAACATCGAGTCCAAGAAATAAGCGTGCTGGAAGTTTTCGATGGCGCCACGGACGCTTCAATGTGCAAATTTGCCACAAGCAAGCTCTGGCTTCACTCGATCTTGACGCCGGCGATGGCAGCGTTGCTCTCGAGAACAAGTGCGCTGCGGCCGCTGCTCCGCGCCGCGATGCATCGCCGCGCCTTCGCCGCGCCGGCGACGACGGTGCGGTCCGAGGCGCCGCTGTCGACGACCTTCCCCGCGAAGATCGAGGAGCGCCGCGAAGTCTCCGTGCTCGGCCTGCCCCTGGCCGCCGTCGACGTGCTGCTGGCCAAGGGCGGCGCCCTCTTCGACGGCCTCGACGACGGCGTCACGGGCGTCGAGCGCGACGCGTTCCTGCAGCTCCTCGAGAACGAGGTGGCCATGCGCGGGCTGTCGTGCGATTTCGCGGACCTCGACGGCCTGCTGCGGGAGCGCGCGGCGCCGGGGGACGAGCACCTGGCGCGGGAGACGCTCGACGAGCTGCTCGCGGGGCTCAAGGGCTCCATCGCGAACCTGTGAGCGCGGCGGCGCCAATTCGCCGCGCGCGCGGGCCCGCCGCCGGGAGCCGGTCGACCGACCGCCTCCCGCCGGCGCGCCTCCGCCAGGGGCGCGATTTTATAACTGTCTGGTATTGCCCGGGGTCGACGCGCCGCACCTCCGCGCGGCGGCCTGCATCTGGCGTTGAATCTGCTGGAGTAGCGCGAGGCGTAGCGCGCCTCGTAAGTTCAACACACTGCAACGTTCGGGTAACACCATCCTGAGTCTGGGCGGCCTCGGGCAGCATTGGCCACCACCAGGCCTGCCGTCGTCTGGCCGCGCGATGCGCGTGCTTCAGCTGACCCAGAGGTCGGGTCTCCACCGAATGTGTGACGTGCGCATCGACGTCGACGACGCGGAGCCGAAGCTCCAGCCCCTCAACGGCTCCTTGTCGAGCGACTTCAAGGATTATGGGGCCGCCCTCGTCGCTAGCAAGATGACGCCGGCGCGCGCGCTCGCCGTGCTGGGCGCGCTGCGGGCCGACGGCTGGCGTGTGCTCTCCAGCGATGTCTACCACCTCGGCCCCGGCGGTCCGGACCACAAGTACGCCGACGAGGTCAGGACGTTCATCATGGAGTTGGACGAGTCCGGCGGACACCGGACGCCCGACCGCCACCGCCGGCGCACGGTCGTGCCCGCGCGGGAGATCGAGGCCATCGACGTGCCGTCGCCGCGGCCCGACGCCGCCTCGCCGACCAAGGCGGGCCCGCCGCCGGTCCCCGCCCCGAGCGCCGCGCCGCCGCCGCCCGCGCCCGCGCCGCCGCCCGCGCCCGCGCCGACGCCGCCGCCCGTGCCCGCCGCCCTCAAGGCGCAGCTCGCCGAGGCCGCGACCAAGGACGCGCCCGCGGACGCCGGCGACGCCGCGGCGCCGCCGACGGTGGCGCTCGGCGGGGGCTCGGGGCGCAACTTCATGGAGACCCTGCGCGAGGGCAAGCGCAAGGAGGCCGAGGACAAGGCGAAGATGCTCGCCGCCATGACGCCGGAGGACCGCGACAAGTTCCTCGCGGCGGAGGAGGCGGCGGACGCGCACGACAAGCTGAAGAGCAAGCACCAGCGTCCTGTGGCGGTGACGATTTTCGAGAGATTTTGACCGGGAAAACGAAGAGAAATCGTTACCGACATGCTTGGTAGGCAAGCACGCGAACCGCCTCGCGTCGACGTTCAAGAGCTCGGGCGCGTCCCTGTCCTTCCGGCGCGGCGGCGCGGGCGGCCGCGGCGGCCGCGGCCGCGGCGGCCGCGGCGCGGCGGCGTCGCCGTCGTCGTCCTTCCTAGGCGGGGGGCCCTAAGGGGACGACGGCTCACGCCTTACGCCGGCGGAGGGAGGTCACGGACGCGCCGCCCTTGGTCCCGCCGAGCGGCGCCGTCGTCGCGGCGAAGCGGTCCGCGGCGACGTCCGCGAAGAACCGCCGCTCCCCGCCGACGCGGTGCGCGTAGCCGAGCACGGCCGCCGGGCCGTCGCCGTCGACGGGCGCGAAGGCGTCGAGGGCCGCCGCGAGCGCCGCGTAGTGCGCCGACTCGTAGAGGAGGTCCGCGCCGACGACGAGGTCGAAGGGCCCGCACTCGGCGAGCGCCGCGGCGTCGGCCGCGTCGCCCCAGACGAGCCGGCGCGCCGCGCAGCGCCCGCCCGCGGCGCCGTTGAGCGCGACGTTCGCCGCGAGCCAGTCGAGCGTCGTCGCGCGGTCCGCGTCGTGCTCCGCGAAGCGCGTCGCGAGCGCGGGGTCCGTGAGCGTGACGTCGCAGCCGCCGGCGACGCCGAGGCCGATGCCGAGGAGGCCCACGCCCGAGCCGAGCTCGAGGACGCGCGGCGCGCGGCCGAGCGCGGCGCCGAGGTCGGGCACGACCTCGGCGAGCAGGTGCCGCAGCAGCGGCAGCGCGCAGGGCCAGAGCTTCAGGCCGCTGCGGTCGGCGACGCGCCGGCCCGTGCGCTCCTGCGCGACCGGTTGCTCGAAGAGGTGCTGGCGCAGGAGCACGTGGTGCGTGCCCGTGATGTCGATGCGCTGCGGCGGGCGGCGCAGCAGCGATTTCATCTGATGCCGATGCGCTGCGGCGGGCGGCGCAGCAGCGATTTCATCACCCCAAGATCTCGAGCTCCATCGCACACACGATCCCCAAGATCTCGAGCTCACACTCTTGTGGCAGGGCTCGGACAAAAGAGTCGCGCCGGAGGTGTATGGGCGCGCGCGCGCGCGGGACCTAAGAGAGCCCGGGCGGGCCGACGCGGGAGACGGCATAGGAATATCGCTTGTCGGCACCTTCGGACACGACGCCGAGGCCTACGCCGTTCGAACGACGTCTTCGCCGCGCGCGCGCGCGGACCCAGGCCAACTTTCCGGCTTCCTCGGCGCTTCGGAGCCGGAAGTCGTCCCGTTGCGACGCAACCAAGGCGCGCTCTCCGGCGCCCAGTACGCCACTTCCGCCCCCTCAGTCGATCGACGGTTACCCTGCACGCGGTACAACGCCTCGCGCTACGGCGGTGACGAAACGGCGGCGTCGCTCGGGCGCTCGTTTACGAAGAAGAACGTTCGCAGCGCTTCCGCGCCGCGCGAACGCAACGCAAAGCCACCCCTGCCCCGTCGCCGCGCCGCCGCCGCCGCCGCGGCACTCCTTGGCCCGCGCGTACACGCGACAAAGCGACGCCGCGCCGTCGGGGCCGTCGACGAGTGCCGCGACGACGCCGGCGGCGGCGCGACGTCGCTCGGCCGAGACGCGCGACGACACCCCCGGCTCGCGACCGCGGCGACGGATCCGCCCTCGCCGTCGACCGCGACGGCCCCTCCCCGCAGGTCGCCATGGCGCGCGTCCCGACGTCGATCCTGAGGCACAAGGTCACGATGATCTCCGTGCGTCGATCCGTGCGCCGGATGGTCGCGGAGCTGCCGCAGAAGGTCCGGTCCTACGCGAAGCCGAGCCCCTGCGGCCTCTACTACCCGCGGCCGGCGACGAGCGACGGCATGAAGCCCTTCGTCGAGGTCGAGATCCTCAGCCCGCCGCCGCGCGCCGCGGTCGCGGCCGCGTTCCTCGACGACCTCAGCGCCGACGCCATCGACGACCACGTCGCCTGGTCCGAGCGGCTCCAGGACCGCGAGGCCGCGCTCCAGCGCGAGATCGAGAAGCAGGCCGCGCGCGACGCCGCCGCGTCGTGGGCGTGGCCCTGAAGGTGCGCCGGGGACGGGCCGCCGCGCGACGACCCCTCGTACGCAGCCGGCGCCCCCCGACGGCGCGAGCCCGCCGAGACGCGCGCGCGCGCGTCGTAAGCGGGCATGTACACAGCCAACGAAAACGGCACGGAGACACGCGCGCGCGTCGTGAGCACAGCCATTTTCCCAACCAAAACGGCACGATCGGCCGCGTATCCTCCGGACGAAGCAGCCCCGGGCCAAGCTTGGAGAGCTTCTCCCGGGTCGGGCGGCGCCACCATGGTGTCGGAGCGGCGCGATGCGCCGTCCGTCTTGCCGGCGGTCGCTCGGCCGGCGAGCTCCTACGAGCCCGTCGAGGCCGAGGTGCGGCCCGTGGACGTGGACCTCGAGGAGCCGGCGCCGGCGCGGCGCGTGTCCGTGACGGCGCCCCCGGGCAGCGCGCCGGGCATGAGCCTCCGCGTGGAGGTCGACGGGCTCGAGAGCCAGGTGCCCATCCCCGCGGGCGTGCGCCCCGGCGACGCCTTCGAGGCCGAGATCCCCGGCGCCGCGCCCCCCGTCGTCGTCGCGACGGCCGTCCCCTCCGACGAGGAGGTCGCGGCCGCGCTCCAGCGCGCGGAGTGCGACCGCGCCATCGCCGCGCTCGACGGCGCGCGCCTCGTGTCCGTGGCCGAGCGGGGCGGGCCGGCGCCCGCGCCGCACCTGACGCTCGCGGAGCAGAAGCTCGTCAACTACCGCTGGTCGATCAAGTGCTTTGCTTTGGTCGACGTGCTCGACACGTTCCTCACGTGCCTCGGGCCCGTGGGCGACTGGGGGCCCGTGGCCCTCTTCTTCATCCTCGGGCCCATCTGCGGCTACTTCGGCGCGCGCCAGCTCGACCACCGGAAGGCGACCATATACCTCGCGTTCTGCCTCCTCAAGTCGCTCTACGTCCTCGTGCTCTTCGCCGTCTACGCGACCAACGCGCTCTACCTCCTCGTGCTGGCCGTCCAGCTCTGGGTGACGAACATCGTCTACAAGTTCTGGAAGCTCCTCGGCTCCGTGTCGTCCGCGCGCGCGAAGCAGCTCACGTCCGACGAGTACGCGCGCCGGTCCCAGATGGTCTTCTACTAGGCTCGGGGGTTTGGCTTCTTTTTGCTTCCCCGTTACGTTCGGTCTCGTCTCGCGGGGGGCGGCTCCCGGCGCGCGTGGCGTTCGCGGCTCGGACCGGAGCGCTCGATTCGAGTGCCTTTTGCGGCTGCGCCCCCGAGCCGACGGAGCACCGCAAATTGAACGTTGGTGCAACCGGCGACAAGCAGGCCTCGTCACCCGCTACGTCGAACTGCGTCCCGACTGGAACCCGAACTGGCCTTGTTATTTGAACGCATGGAGTCCATACCCCACGTGAGCTCCAGCGGCGACATCCTGTCGCTCGCCGACCCGTCGAGCGACCCGTCGCTGGCCGAGCGCGTCGGCCGTGTTCTGCCCCGCTTCAGCAGGCAGAACAAGTCCAGCAACTGCACGCTCGAGGCCCAGGGCCGCGTCGTCCGCTACGCGGCCGGCGGGAAGGCGCCGGCGCTCGCGGAGATCGACGTCGACGGCGGCCGCTGCGAGCTCGAGGTCCTCGACTGCGGCTTCGCGCTCGGCTTCGGCGCGCTCGTCCCGAACGGTCCCTGCGCGGCGCTCGCCGCGGGCCAGCTGCCGCACTGCTTCGGCGGCGGGTGCCTGCTGCGCGAGTCCGGCGACTGGATCGCCGGCGGCCGCGCCGTCGCGTCCACGGGCGAGTCCTACGAGACCTTCCGCGACGGCGACGTCGTCGTTCTGACGCTCCGCGGCTCCGAGCTCTCGATCAAGCGCGTGCGGCCCGCGTGCGGCGGCGCCGTCGTCACGGAGCTCGGCGCCGTCGCCCAGGCGACGGCGGGGCCCCTCCGGCCCTACGTCTTCCTCCGCGGGCTCGAGGGCGCCGCCGTCGCGCTCCGTCCCAAGAGGGGGCCCTGGCGCGCCGCGGGCGGCGACCGCGCGGCCTACCCGGCGGCCTTCCACGGCGCCGCGCTGGCGCTCGACGAGGCGGCGACGGCCAAGGTCGGCTTCTCCTTCCCCGCCGAGCTCCTCGAGGCCGTCCTCGCGTTCAACGACTGGTGCGACTTCTACTGAGCGTCGGCCACCATCGGGGGTTCCAAGCCACCAGGGCGCCGGCGAAGAAGTCGCCGGCCGCCCCGGTCGCCCCCGGCCTTTTATTTTATACAGTTTTTTCGTAGCATCGTCGCGACGCGAGCTCGCTCGTCCGCCCGAGCCGGCCCCGCGGGGAGCTCGAGTCGAAGGACCTCATTAGGCCGCCGGGCGCGAACCCCGCGGCGGCGCGAGGTTGGCGTCGAGCTGCTCGAGCCGCG